CTTAGGCGCCAATTAGTTCGTAATCGTTTATATGACCGCATCTGCACAACGCCGAAGAAACGGTGACTGCATGAGCGTAGGCACAGTCTACTTAATCACTTGCAAAGCGTATAGCGATAAATATATTGGCGAAACGCAGGCCGCTCCATGCTCGCATAAAAGTACATCTAGCTGACAAACGTCTTACTAGACGAAACACCCTGCTAGGGACGCATAGAGAACAGAAACACGACGGAGTTGATTTTGAGATCGAAGTCACCATCCTAGCGCAGCAACAAAAATCATCAGCGCGAAAAAATTGTGGAAGCACTTTGGGTTAACACCACCACAGGGAAGAATGCCTCGTTATCACTCGTGATATAGTCAGTATATAAGACTGTTGTTTTGATGGGTTGGGTGCATTACGAGTTTGTGTGATCTCCTTCCGGTGATCTCCACTCGAATCATTCAGTCGGACACATATAAAAAGAACTTCGACCTTTCCAGGCTGTGACGAAAGCAACCTGCCGAAACGTAAGCTGTTTGAATTGTGTTAATAAAGTTTGGACTTAACACCTCGTGCCCCGCTCAAGAAGAGAGAGAAAGAAAAGAATTATTTCTATTTCTTTATACTGTGTACGAATAGTACAACTCAAACTTGGGTGATTAAATCATTATATCAATAAATATAACTTAAATAACAACACCGATGCAGCAATGTATGTACAGGAAAAAATTATGCAGAAACTCATGAATAGTCTGCACGATTATAACGTTGTAGTAAATTCATAGTTAACGTTCAAGTTAACTACGTAATTAAAAAGTTCAGGGGAATAGGATTAGGCTGAATACATGTAATATGAAGACAAGAAGTGTAATAAAAAATACGAACTTCAGCGGTATGCTGCTAGTTAGTAGATTACTTCATAAGATGAATATAGAAATGGTAATTATGGGCTTTAGAAGTGAAAGGAGGAAGTGACTGAAGTTTGCCAGAGGTACGAAAAGGCTAATGGAAGTGGGAAGAGCTTTCATATTGACGAAGGCTTAAGATAAGAAACTATGTATCAATGAAAAGAAGAAACTAAAGGGCAACATGTAAACAAACGATATAACTTTGTGGACCGAAGAAGATCGAATATGTTGTGTTTGTCTCAGATGTGGGTGGATTGCTTGGTGAGGTCGCTCTCGTCTGCTTCTGGCATATCCCCAGGTACACGTCAGATTGTTTTGTTGCATATAGGTCGGACGTTATTTGCTATAAACATGCATTCGATTATTAAATTATTGAACTTATAATACCACATGATACAATGAGGTTAAATAGTGACTATTCGTTAGAAAAGTCAATATATATACTTGCACATTTTGTTCTTGTTTCGATCATATGATCACGTGTATCGAACCTGTAATTAGTCGTGCTGATAGTGTAGTGATAAATTCTACAACAAAGATCTTCATCAGATTTCATGATCCGGTGTGACCAATATAATACCCTTTAAGTTCATGAGATAGTAATCAAGCTCAACACCCAGATAGGTAATATTCCTTTTAAGTCCTTGAGATCCTCCTGAAGAGATTGGCTGAACCGAAAGGCACTGTGCCACTGGTAATTCTATAATGGTGAAACACATGTTTAGCTTTGCATAAGTGCCATACCAGACCTACGAACGCTCAAAATTGTTATCAGATTACCAGATTGCTCTAGTTTTGCGCAATGTGTTCACATAGATAAGGATAAGGATAAGGATAAACGCTCGGCGTTCCTTGAGGGATGCGCCATGCATTCCTCTTCAATTTCTAACTCCGTTTGAGGTGATTGAATGCACATTTGGCTTTCACAATGACTCGCAGTGGCCTCCCGCTAAACCGAGTCAGTGCCGCTTATCCTCCCAGACAAGTCTGAGACCAGTCTGGTATCAATTTACCGACCCCAGAGAGATGAATGGCTTGGTGAGCCGTGAGCGCGAGATCGGACCATTGACCTCGTACGTACCTCAGAGCTACCTCTAACCACTGCGCCACATGCGCTCTTGTTTATATAGATAGATAGCTGAAAGTAAAGAATAAGTGAAGTGAAGTAAAGTATGACTCAAGATAGAGTCGGGCCTTCAAAAAAAAAGGCTTTTATTGCACCCTCTTAGTTAAAGTCAATCAAAAGGTGATAAATTAATTGAAATGCCTTCGACCTTTTTTCTTTTTGACGTGTATTCAATCACACGAGTACACCTTTTAATACACAAGCATGATATACAAGGTCATGTACATTATTGAAGAAATTTTGATTTTTCAGCCATCCTCAAATGAATTTTCAAATGATGCTAGCAACGAAAACTTGTAAGGACAGCTTATTACCAGAGCAACATGTCTGGTTAAAGTTATAACTGATTTGTTGAGTGATAGTGAAATAGTTGGTGAACAACTCAGAGGGAACAGCTGTGGTATTGGGAAAAAAACAAATTATCACATCCTCCTTCTTGAAATGATGCAGTAGCTGACCACCCTTCGACTTCATTTGGATTTTGAGCAGAATTAAGAATGATTAAAACAAAGCCAGCATCGAGGAACATAGAGTTTTTCAGTTATCTTGTCTTTGACTGATAATAAGAAAATGGTGGTAGCATCAATATTTCAGCTCAAAAAATGATTGTGATTTTTCAAGTGGAAGGCATATGCGAAAAACTCTTGAGTAAGATCGTAATGAAAAAAACTGGTAGCGATACGCAAAAAGTTATCATTCCGATCTATTGAGGCTATAGTTTCCTCTAGACAAGAATTGATAAGGATCTTTTAGCTCCTAAAGAAGGCTGCATCTGTGGTATTTTGAATATTAATGGGAGGAGAAGTTTAGAATTCGTCAGACTGCAACTGAATTCACTTGTGAATCCTATACCCATCAAGTATCCCAACTGTTTGACGAATGGAAAGTGGAGGTCGGCAGGACATATGGTCAGCAGCCGTCTAACCAAATAAGCATTTCAGTATTTGAGAAGCGAAAAAATGAAGATGAAAAATATGTAGTTTTACTGTGATGAATAACAACGGAATGCACTGTGCATTCCACTGCATTCGCACCTTCGTAAAAATATTTCACTGCTTCTGAACTTGTACTACGACTTGAAGGGCATACTGATGCATTTTTCAGCGTCATCATTAATCCGTGCAAGTGTGGAAGAAATCTGCCTGTCTCGTAAAGATGGATGACCTTGTTTACTCTTGTTCTAGAATTGAATGAAGCACCATATGACGTAGGCAGCACTAATCACTGCGCTACACAAGTCATTTGATATTAAAACATTTATCGCCAACATATCTATTTCAGAGATCGATGAACTTTTGATTCATTAAACAAGCGAATCAATGAGAAAAGAATTCTTGGTGGAATCATCATACTATGAGACTGGAATAAAAATTGACCTGACGGAGTTGCTACTACTTCTGGAATGCACACACTTCAAAGTAGTGTCTGCAAATTCAGTGGAATCAGATTATCGAAATGGACGCTATTCAAATAGAAATTTTCAGGAAAAAAAGACAGATTTTCATTGGAACTTTGGATTAATCTTGACTAAATTAAAAACTTCCGAATGAGTCGTATAGCACTACAATCACATTTTGAGGAAAGCCAGAAAACATTATGAATTCCTATAAATATTCAACATAATCAAAATAAACCCACCAAAGGTGGCGTTTGCTAGAAAGTCGCTGATTAGGAGATCTCCCACAGTCGTGGTCCTTTTCGAGGCTTTGCTTGATCTACAGTCTTAAGAGTACTAGTATAGTCAAGAGCAAATAAATAATGAACTATATGATCAAAAAAGCAACAAACGGGATAGTTGGCATGTAAGGCCAACGTCCAGGCGACCAATGCCTACCCTGGAAGTGTCATTGGTGGTGATGCCACTGCTGGTGCTGCTGTTGTGGTTGAGATTGAGATCCATATTGCTGCATCATTGTATAAGGAGGTGGATTACCATACATATTTCGTATATCGGTCATTTGCTGATTCTCCATTCCCAGTTGTGCTCCAAGCATCATATCAACAGCATCTAAAGTCACACTTCACCTGTATTACATTTCATGTAGCTCAGTGACGTCACATGGCAACTAGGATAAGAAAAAGCAAGTGCAAAACACGCATTATATTTGTTTGATTGATGTGGGAGCTTCGCCGAAAGAAACTCCAACCCCTGGTATTTTTTCGATAACACAGAAGGACAGATCCCTTTCGATCCTTTTCGCTATTGTGTTACGCACATGGCGAATACATTAACCCTTCCGATACCATCCAATCACGCATTCTGCATCTCTCGGTGGCAAATCCGCACGGTCTGTTCCATCTCCTTTGCACCTCGGATACCCCAGCGTGCTGCGTCTAACAGTGGCACGCTGGGTAGCAGAGATACGGAGAAGGTGGAGTAGACCGTTCAGAGTCGCCAGTTAGAGGTGCAGAGGCCGTGGGTCCACGGTCCTGGAAGGGTTAACCAAACAAAAGTGACTCAATGTCGAAATGTCACCCACCTCCAGGCTGTTGGATCAATCCCTGTGGATGTTGCAGAAACGTTTCAGCAATCTGCTGCCTCATCATCATTGGTTGGCTTAGCATCATTTCTTGAAAGAAGCTGTTTCTATTATATTATCATATGGTCACATTTTTCTACATATGACATAGAAACTGGAGCTTTATGCATATCAGTAGCTTTATGCATTTAACCCTTCGAGGAACAACGTTGATAGGCAGGCGTCGTGCCGTAACTAACGCGGCATCAATGCGTGCGGCAGTTCCATGTCTGTGTATGCGTGTTTGACTGTCTGTCTACTTTCTCACAAGACGCGGCGCCACTATCATAACAGTTGCGTGAAATCTAACGTCGCGTGGTGAGCATCAAAACAACTCTAATGGTCCCTAAAGGGATAAATAGATTTTGTACTAGCTAGTCCGACAGGTATCTAATGAACGAAATACTGAAGAAGAATAAATTGACTTGAACATTTACGAACTGAGTGGTTAGCAAAATTAAGGTCTCAAACGGAAGTCTAACTCGCGTTTCATCCATACCGGGAACGCATGCTACCACTACACCACCGAGGCACATTTGCGCCACCACTCATTCTTCAACATCTCTATGTTAGCTGTTAGCCACCAACCCTTACAGGCTTGGTCGGGAATGCGATTTCGCTCTATAAACCCAGTTGATCTGACAGCCATTGTTAGACATAATACTCGAGAATTCCAGTATTTTTACTGCATTTTCGCAGTGCTGTGATGTTTCAGATATACCTAAGCGAACTGAGCGGTGAGCAAAAACACGGCCTCAGACGGGAGTCGAACTCGCGTTTCATCCATACCTGGGACGCATGATGTCACTGTACCACCGAGGCACATTTGCGCCACCACGGATTGCGGGTTCGCCTCCAGCCTGAGACCGTATTTTTGCTCAACACTCAATTCGCTTATTTATATAATAAACACAGCACTGCGAAAAAGCAGTAAAATACTAGAATTCTCGAGCATTAGACAGTTGCACATACCCATACCTTGACGTTGAAATTGCTGGACACCTTGCACTGTTCCCATCTGTTGTTGTCGAGAAGCTGGGATCGATGCCGGCATGAGTTGACTCTGGAACAACTATTATTAGCGACAAGAAAACTCTAAAGCTTATAGCAGTAGCACTCTTCTCATCAAAGAAAGTTTCTGAACAGTGGGAATACCAACCGCAAATATCCTCTGCTGTTGGTACTGTTGTTGTGCTTTACTCACCATTTCACCAATCATACTCACTAAAAGCAATGTGAAGAATTTTCGCGATTTCAAATCAAAACAAAATTAAATAATGACCTCTAGTCTCAGTAGAGACACGTCTTCAATATTGTTTTAGAAGAAGAAAGAATTCATTAAAAGACCATTCGGTGCATTCAAAATAACTCCAAAAAAATGTTTTTAGACTAAACGAGGTTGGTACGCCAGGGCCATACACCGGTGTTTCGGAGGTTTCGGCCTCCTCGTCAGTGACCCCCGCCCCACATTAAGCCCTGCATTGTAGCAAGGAGGGAGGCGTATGTGGTATGTGGTGATGGCATAGTGTACAATGACACTGGTCCATCACCACTTTCAGTCGATGGGGTTCGGCTGGTAGACCAAAACAATACATAAAATCGACTGTTTTCAAAACCTCGTAATGAACATTCAAAATAATTCCAAAAAAAAGAATGTTTCTAGCCTAAACGAGGTTGGTACGCCAGGGCCATGCACCTGTTTCGGAGGTTTCGGCCGCCTCGTCAGTGACCCCCGCCCCACATTAAGCCCTGCATTTTAGCAACGAGGGAGGCGTATGTGGTATGTGGTGATGGCATAGTGTACAATTCGGTGCATGTTCGTTATATTCAACCATTTAGCGACAACGTCTATCCACTTATCTTCAGACATTCGCTAGTCATTCAACAGGTTGAATCTCGATTTGCGTTTTAGTAGCAAAAGAAAACTTGGTTTCACACTCGACACATCTTTTACTAGGCTACTATATTTGGAGAGTCTATAATACAGACCTCTAGTAGTTGACTGATAGCATAAACTACATGAAAATGAAGTTAAGTTTTTCTCTGCAAAGTTCTTTACAGAGCACTGGAAGAACGAAAAGAAGGCTATGTTTTACACTCCTAAGCTTAGGCTGTTTATGCTGAAGCATAATAATGGTCTATCTGACAATGCATAAAGGAGATAGAATTCTATGCTCATAGAACGATGTGACTAAGCTCCTTTTACAATTCTATTATAGAAAAGCTACAAATTTATGTGAAACAGAGAAATCGTTTTCTTAAACATAACGATTATAGGCACGGTAATGAGCGCTGAGTGTGAAACTTAATACATTATACTGCTAGAACTCGTAAGGATGGGCATTTTAGAAACTAAGTAGAGTGTCGAAATTTTCGAGAATTAAGCTGTTGAAATAATTCTGGGCAATGCATGTGCAAAGACGGATTTTAAAAGTCCCCAAAGACGGAGATGTCGTTGTTCTCATTGCGTTATAAATGATTGGAGATGACGCAAAATTATCAAATACTCACTTGACTTCTTGATTTTCTTCTTTGAGCAGAACACGAGGTGTTACATTAAACTTTATTCGATAGCTGACGTTTCGGCAGTTCGCCTTCTTCAGAGCCTGGAAAGGTCAAAATGTTTGCAATACAATCAGTCAAACACCTCCATCACTTCTTTAGAAAAAATCACCAGACCTAGATTTCAATCGCATCAAGCAAAAATCAACACTTAACATACTCACCGCTTTTTATATGTGTTCCACTGGATGATCCAAGTGGAGATCACCGGCAAGAGAGACACATAGGCTCGTAATGCACCCTACCCATCAAAACAACAGTCTTATATACTGGCTCATATCACGAGTGTTTACAAGGCATTCCTCCCTGCGGTTTATGGTTGGATTGGTCGTATTAATCCAAAATGCTTCCAAGATCTTTCGCGCTGATGTTTTTTGCTCCTGCGCAAGGATGGTGACTTCGATTTCAAAATCAACTCCGTCGTGCTTCTGTGCTCTATGCGTCCCTAGCGGGGTGTTTTGTCTATTAAGACGCTTGTCAGCTAGGTGTTCTTCTATGCGTGCATAGAGCGGCCTACCCGTTTCGCCTACATATTTATCACTACACGCTTTGCAAGAGATTAGGTAGACTGTACCTACGCTCATGCAATCACCGTCTCTGCCGTTAGGACATATTTTACAATCATTCATCATACAGAGACGGTCATATAAGCGGTTGCGAACTAGTTGGCGTTTTAGAGTATTCGGTGGTATTTCAATAATGGCCACCGATTGCTCTAAGCCCGCTCTTTTCAAACATCGTTTTATAGCTGTACTAACCTCATTTGAATAGAACGGGATGATAAACGGGACTTTCCTTTCAACTAAGTTTTCGTTCGGAGGCGCATTATTTCCTCTAAACCTAAGCCGAGGGGCTACGAATTCGTATCCATTAGAAGTGGCTATTTCCCGCGCCAGTTTCACGGATTCTACTCTCTGCTCCTCCCCGGTACATACATTGGCTGCTGTTCGAAACATGTTTTTTACTAGCGCCTTCTTCGTATGTGAGGGGTGAGAAGAGAGATAGTGAACCAAGATATTCTTACTACTTGGCTTTCGGTACCACTTCGTTATGTAGCCGCTCTCAGTTAAGCTTATTTGCACGTTCAAGAATGGAAGCCAATCGTCTTTTGGTATCTCACGGGTGAATCTTATATACTCTGACTGTTCATTCAGCAATCTAAAACAATTATCCAGCTCCTCTTGAGTGGAACAGATAATCAAACAATCATCTATATACCTACAGTAGAGTAATGGCCGGAGATCCATCACTGGTGCTTCCACTTTAGACATAAAGGCAATGGCCAGGCTAGGTGCCAGTCGCTGTCCCATTGCCAGCCCTCTGGTTTGAGCATAATAATTCCCGGACCATCTGAAGATTGAGCAGTTCAAGCACTCTTTTAGTAGGATCATGAACTGCTCAATCGTCAAGCCATACATGTTTACAGCTCCCTGGTGTTGTATAAGAAGCTCATGTGTGGCTTGCAATGCGGAGTCATTCGACACGTTGGTATATAAAGCAGTAACGTCGAATGACTCCATTACGTACGCGTTGTTCGGGTTCGCGTTACGTAGACGATCCAGGAACATCTGAGTGTTTGTCAGATGGGCTGGAATGTGTCCTAGCAACTGGGATGTTATTAAAGTCAAGAACCATGCTATCCTATCCGTCGGTCCGCCTACACAACTGATGATAGGTCTAACTTTGAATATAGATGGATCGTTAGACATCAGATCATCAGTGGATACTAACTTATGTGTTTTTATAAGCAAGTATAAGACAGGACATGTTGGTGACTGGATTTTTAATTGAGAAATGATAGATGGTCTTAAGCCTGCAGCTTTTGCCGTACGGACCCACTCACTGTTTAATTTGCGGTTTTGCCTTTTGAATTCCTTTACAGAAGATGATCGGTAAAGCGAGGCATCCTCGAGATGCTTGCTCGTTATTGCGATATCTAACTGTCGAGGAATCACAACAAACTCTCCACCCTTATCACTAACTGATAGCCTTATCCTACCTTCGCTTATCAACTCTCGAACCTCTTTCATGCCACGTTTTTGTAGTTCGGTGAGGTTCGATTGATATCTTCTCCTGCTATAGTGAGTGAGGGTTCTAAAAGTTTCGTCCGCAAATTTCCGGAATTTTCTATCTACCTCCTCGTTGGGGTCTTGTTGTCTATAGAACGGCTGAGGAAATGGTGGTATTAGTGCCTCTACTTGCTGTTCATTCCTATTAGTCTCTTCAACTCTGGCCTTTTTACGGAGTTGATCTTGCAAATCATGTAAACCACATGCAACCTTGCGCAAGGACACCTTAGAAATGGGTTGAGATGGTGAAAAGCTTGGACCCAGTTCTAATAGCGAGCGCGCACCGTCAGGGAGAGTTATGCCTCCTAGCACTGTGACCCTTGAATTTCTTGATGCATTACTTGCCCTAATGTGACTCGCTTGATCTTCATTAGCGGTATCCGTATGCCTTCTCAAAGTCATGTTATGCGATCTACTCAAAAGATCATCGAATTTTCTCCGCAAAGTAACTTTAGTATTTGACCTAATGGAATCGTAAATCAATTTTGACCCACCAATAATTCTCCTCCAAAGGTTGCCTTCCAAATACTCACTTGACTGTAGAATCGTGTGCTGTGATTGCATAGACTGATGACATTGGCCTCCCGACAACATTGTCTGAGTGTTGGCGTTCATCTGCCACGAGAACAACCAAGAAGAATAACGAAATAAAGCAGTAAAGGCAGTGAAAAGTGATAAAGTTATCACCTGCTGCACTCCCATGCGCAACCTTTTCTTTAGAGGTTCCGAATCCATTTGCTGGTTTATTGCTTGATTTGCCTATACAATACGCAATGGATGAACGAAGAGTGAAGATATGAAAACCATATTTTCACGCAGCCACACTGTAACCACGTTTCTTCGTCCCTACTCTCAGCAGGAAGACCCTGTGGAGGCGTTTCAAAACATTCTTCCTAACTATATTGGATGTTCATAACCTATAAAACAGCCGAATGTAAGGTGCTCTGTTTGGATAACAGCAATATGCCATCGATTGGAATGAAAATGGGTAACAACGTAGAAACCACAATTCCACTTTGTATCAGAGTAAGAAAGAGCATACGTGGCGCAGTGTTTAGAGGTGCTCTGCGTCGCACACGAGGTCAATGGTTTGATCTCGTGCTCATGGCTCACCAAGTCATTCCAGTCGTCCTTGCGGAGTCGGTAAATTGGTACCAGACAGTTCTCAGACTTGTCTGGGAGGATAAGCAG